TCAAGTCTTCACTTTCCGAGGGTTTCCACTTCAGGTCGTCGTTCTCCAAATGGTCTTCGTCTTCCAAAATATGTCAAGTCTTCAAGTCTTTGCTATCCAACTGTGATCTTTGAACAAGGCAATCCAAGTCCAACAGCAGGTGAAAAAGTTTTGGTTTGAAATTTCAGAATGTTCAAACATATACAGGCTGCCTGGGTGGTTCAAAAAATGCCAGGAAAACATTCTTCTGCACCGTGGAGACGATGGAATCCACAGAGCAGAAGAGTTCCGTCACATAATCTGAGCACCTGCCTGAAAAAAAGCAGTAAAACTGACTCTTGTCGTGAACCTTCTCCCAATTAACTTCATGTTTAATCACACGTCCTCTGTTGCAAGCGACTTGAAGGCCTGATTTTATCTGTCAGTGCTCACAGACCTTTGGTATGGTCCTGATGTCGTCCTCTCCACCTCTTCAACCACGACATCACTGCAGCTGCTTCATGTGCAAGATGTCAGGAGGCAGCAAACACCTGCACGATCCTAAAGAGCCCCTAGAATCTAGTGTCAGATAGCTACAGGACCTCAGAACAGGAGACCAAGGCCTGGAGACAGAGCTGCCTGTATCCAAACTCTGAGCATTGATGCTGATATCATTTCTCCACAAGCACACCACATGACCTAAAGCATCTGCTGCCAACATCCCAGCAACAAACACCACCGGACTCATCATCGTCTGTGAAATCAGTGAAAAAAGATTCATAAAAAAAAAGTAAAACAGCTGTGAGAGAAATGTCTTTGACACATCAGAAGGAGTGATGTAAAGTAACTAAGCAAATTTACTTTAATAATGTTCTACAGTTACTTAAGCAACTTGACAGTATATAAAATGAGCACAACGAGCTTTGCCTCAGTCGACTACAATGTGTAAAGGCAGCTTGGATGTTAGAAAAGCAGTCGGAGAGCTCAGACCTCCACCAAGCAGCTCATTTCCACCCAATGTTAAAGTCCTGCAATAATTTTATCGCCACTATTAGATTCATGGATGATCAAAACATAGCTTTATCATTTGAATTAGCATTGATATCTTAATAACAAGCTGACGGAGTGATGAACAGTCCTTCTGTACACTCAAATATTCTGTACACTTATTTCTGCAGGTCCTTACTGGCTTTAAGCTGTTAGCTAACGGTATGCTAGCTTAGCATAGCTACAGCGATGCTATTGCTAACATAAACAGACAGGGCGTAGCTTAAGCTAGGCTAGCACAACTTTAGTAAAGTAAATGAAGAGCATGACCGACACATGCGTCAGCCGTCATGACACAAAGAGATTTAAAGTGAACCAGGAGACCTGCTGAGTCATTGTTAATGTCACAACGTGGTTCTGAACTTATCTGTCAGTAGCTCCGCTCGGCCCACTCCTGTGGTGCTGCCTGGCTGTAGCTACTTCCCGTACTACCGGGAAGACAGCGGCGAGGACTGAATGGAGTCAGAGCTCCATCTAGTGGACAAACGGCGGAACGGCAGCCTAAGATAAGCCAGAGCATCACCATTAACGCTGTTCATTCAGTCATTGTGAGATACATGTTAGATATCGACCCTCTTTGTTCTCTTTAGCATCTTAAAGGGGAAAAACTAACTCACCTTTATTGGGGGATTGTACTTACAGGGAGTCCTGTTGGTGTGACCTTAATCTTTTCTTGAACAGAAAATTGTATATCTTTGTTACGCTTAATGTTCAGCATATTTTATTTGTAATGTTTAATGTTTAAATTCCTGAAAAAGAAGATATGGTATTAACTTTCTGATGTTACTTGCTAAGTTCCATATACATACCAGTAAATTTGCAAAACAGAAGCCCAGTGTGAATGTGTTCAGAGCCCATCTGAACTCTTATATGGACTCTTTAAAACTTTGTACAAATTCTAAAGCTGTGAAACTCATAGTCTCATGAGAACAATGTGATCTGTGGTTTTCTTTTGTCATTCCTTTACTTGTGCTCTTTTACTCTCTCCTCAAGTGCACATGATGGCTGACATATGTTGGGAATGAAGTTAAAAGATTAATGGGAACATTTTAAAAATGTAAGTAAGTGATTCTCTCAGAGTATAGGTCATCAGAGAAGGTCTTGCTGGCCCTGATGGCCCACCACCGGCTTAATATAGAAAAATATAGAGTCAGGTTTGTTGCGTAATGAATACTTGGACGAGGTAGGGTTTGGAGTGTGGGGCTGTTAGGAGTGTTTTTAAATTGTGGTATTCCTACTTTTACTTTGGTGAGGACTTCCATCACTGGTTCATGGTACACATGCATTGTGTATTTAACATCAGGACTTCACTTTCAACAGTTCCTAAAGGGGACCACCAGGGGGCACAACAGGCACACATCTGAAGTTCAAATATCCAGCTGTGGCTCCGGGTGAGGAGGATGACTGATGTGGTCAATGATCTAGCTGAATCTTACGGAAAATGAAGGCGGTGGTGTGTCGTCAGGGCCAGCGAGGCCTTCTCTGATGGCCTAAACTCACAGTCACTGACTTTCCCATTTATCTTTTAACTCCATTCTCTTCGTTTCATAGTGTCTCTGGGCTGTGGTGCTTCCAGCAGTATATGTTTATATCAGAGCTTTTATCCAATCATATTTCAACCATCATGTGTTGCCAGGGTCACAGAAATCTGCCCTGAGGCTTTCAGGATCAAAAGTGCAGCTTAAAATGCATTGTAATGAAACTGTTAGCAACACTCTGCCTGTTAACGCAAGTTTCTTTGGAAAATTTGCACGTTTTACTGTAAACATGTACATTTTTCCAAACACGCAGCTTTAAAGACAGCGTAGCGAGCCTAGACAGCATGATTTTTCAGGGACAGAGTGTGCTGAGAGCCCTGATGTGATGTATATGGTGAAGCTGTGAGACTTGTTGAATTGTTTTAACTTTCTCACTTAGGTGATGGCATTCATTCTCGCTACATGAGATACCTGTCTGCAGTGCAACGTCCTGTTGTGCTGCCTTTCTGCATCATACTGATGGTTTCTACAGCCGTGGCGTCATGGTGACGTGTTAAGAGGTGGTTTGATTCAGGCAGGACGCCACTGAGTGAAGGAGGTCACAGACTGACAGAGCTGTTCAAGCTGATCCTTCCTGGCCTCTGGCACCAGCATTCTGACCTGTCCAGATGTGGCCTTTAGCTTCCTGTCAGCTCTTTGAGACTTTTACAATGTTCAACTCATATCTTGTATTATTTTATAACACTTTGCTCTGTGGCCACTCAACCATCTCATGAGCAGCAGCTCTCTGTCCCAACAGCAGCTCTTTGGTTTTAGCTGTGATTTGCAGTTGAGTAGAAACTGTTCTGAGAACTCAGCTGTTCTCAGGTTCTACTGTAGATGGTCTAGAATCTGAATTTTTTTTCCTTCTCATTTAGGCTATGAACAGTTTTGGACATGGCATCTTTACTTCAATTGTAAACAAAACAGGAAATAGTAAAAATCTCTAAAATGTTCCTTCTTTTGTCACTGGTTCATTTTATTTCCATTTCCTATCTATCTATCTATCTATCTATCTATCCATCTATCTATCCATCTATCTATCTATCTATCTATCTATCTATCTATCTATCTATCCATCTATCCATCCGTCGACAAATAAAGGTTTTGAATCTTGAATCTTGTCGTTTCCAAGGAGACAGTTTTATTAACACGGCCCGTAAGTCTTAAAGCAAACAGAGACACAAACTGAGTGTTTTGATAACTTTTATTTTACAAAAAAAAAAGGGGGGAAAAGTTCACATTGACATTTAGCCTCAATATTACAGTATATTGAAATTCTTCTCAAAGGAAGTAAAATACAACACTTTTTATTTTATTTTAATCTTATATTAAAAATATCAAATAGTACTCATCTAGCAGTGCTTACAGTATTTTAAGATATGTTGCAGACTTGATAGCAGAAAGGTTGGCTTTGTACACAGCAGAGATGGGTGTTGTTTTTTCTTTTTTTTTTTTGAATCGAGGGCCTTGCAGAGACAACCTACCTTTGTGTTACCCGGCCTGGTTCGATTGACAAGCTGAACATGCAATGAGGGCAACTACACAAATCATCCTACAGATTATACCGGTGCAGTAAGACACTTGGAACAGGCTTGCAATGCAACAACAAGAAAAAAAGAAAAGCTAAATGTTCCATTCATTGTGTTTTTTTCCCCCCCGACAACCGTCATGTCACAGAGTGCCCTTCCACCTCTACAAAGTGATCTGAAATTAATTGGCAGACTTTCTGGTGATCTTTTCAGTACAGCTTACCAACCATGGACATGGTGAATAAGAAAATTAGACTAAAAATAACATCACTACCTGAATAAACTTCAAAAAACTGACTCCGTAGAGCATTTCTCTAGTTGCACAGAACTGTACAGGCACACATATTATATATATTTAAAATAAATAGGGCTAATTTGGCCAAGTCTCAGTGGGGAGGGCAGGTCTCTCTGGTTTGTCAGCACAGAGAGACACGATCCCAGCCATTTATTGGGATGGCTTCCCAGCCACGACACGTTCTTATAGGTCCCTAAACACACTCACTCATTCACTCACTCACTCAGTCACGCACATCCACAGCGTCGCTCACACACCTCGGCCTCCTCCACCACATGCACAAAGCCAGAAAGATAGAAAAAGGAAACAAAACAGCTGCTGAACATTATTATAAAACATGTAAATGCCATTTTTCTGGAATGCCTCTGATCAGGGAAACAAAAAAAACCAAAAAAAGCTGGAGTGTGAGTCGTTTCTGAGATCATTAAACCAGAACGGGCTCATTAGATGACACCACCGCACACGCCCAGGCGTTATCCCGTGCCACCGCTCCAGGCCGTGGCCTTCGGACCCCAACTTCCCCCTCGACGCTTCCCACAGTGGTCCCAGAACGCCTCGTCGTCTCGTCGGTGGGAGGCGGCTCCGCTTTCCTCACGTTACAAAACAGGACATGACATGTGACTATCGGACGACGGACGAGTCGACCTCCCTACGTGCTCGACTCCATCTCTTCATGGGACTGGGTGGGTGGGGGGGTTTAGACAGGGTAGATATGAGGGTGGGGAAGGGGCTGTACAGTCAAGACGAGCTGCCTGCTGGGGGGGAGAGGTGAGGCAGGACGACTGAGTGGCAGGGACCAATGTTTGTATGGAGTCTCTCTCTCTCTCGTCTCCAGATGAAGCCCTGAGGGAGGCGGTGGGGATTAAACGTCAGTGGAGAAGTAGAGCGTGTTGCGCTTCAGTTCAGCAAAGGAGATGGGAGGATGCTGCAGGTAGTAGAGCAGCACCTGGACCTGGGAGGACAGACAAGCAGCATGTGAGATGACAAGTTCCTGAGTGA